CATTTACAAAATGTGGAGCACTCTCATGGTCATTTTAAACCTCGCCGGCCGAGGGGGGGGGGCGGGTGCCGCCCCCCATAGGGTTTTTTCGCGATAGCTCCGAGCACGCTGCCGATAGAGAGCTGAAACTTGGCATACCTGACCTTTGATTCAAGCCAGATTTTGACACCAACCGCATTTTTGGGTCAGGTCAGGTCACTGACCTATGACGTCATAAGTGAACCTCTGCACGGTCTTCAGATGTCGCAACTTCGCAACGCCCTCACTGCCAGAGGAGATGTCACAGGGAAATGAAACTTGCAGGATCTAGTATCCATTATGAGTCTCAAATTGATATCTCAGATTTTTCCTAAAGGTCATATGAGGTCAGGTCATTTTCGTGACCTCACCATTATAAGTCAATGGGGAAAAATTCAAACTGCTATTCTGGCGCCGGGAACGATCTCCAACTATCTCAAGCACACAGAATCGTGATTGATGCACTCCTCGCAAGGTTAGATGCGTCACTTTTGCAATGTTGACCTTGCGTGACGTCATTTATGACGTCATCAAGGTCATATTAGTTTTTCGTCAATAACTCTTGATCAAATTGAGCTATCGAGTCGAGAAAGCCACCAATGGACTCAGAAAGACCTGCCGAATCGAATGATATGCGACATGACCTCTTTCGGCCAACTTCGTGACCTGGGGGTGCTGACCTGACCTTGACCTGAGGTCAACACCTCAAGTTGACCTGACCCGGACAAAATGTATATAATTCGACGCGCCTGAGCGAGGCAAACACGATGCTGCCAAAATCGGCGCTCTGCGGCCGTTTTTTGCGAAGTTATTCACCAAAGACTGAACCGTACCTTGGGGCACTTGACCTGACCTCAGAGGTCACCGGTTGACCTAGGACCTTAAAATCGGGTACCAATATCTGCGTCTCGTAACGGCGCACACGCTCGTTTTTTCCGCGACGCGCTAGCTCCACCAGGGGCGAAACGGCGAGGGGGGGGTCGTACCCGCCCCCCCCCCCTCGGCCGGCGCGTATGTAGAAAACCAATAGGTCCGGCGAGGGTTAACGCTATAACGCTATAACGCTATAACGCTATACCTACCACCATCTCTCTTACACCCAGTCACCTCGTATTTCCGCCAGAGCAGCTCCAAGCTAAGTTCCTGAAAGGCGTGGGTGTCGGACTGCTAAACTGTGCCCTGTTCTAGCCGGTCAGCCATTGAAAACTACAGGAGCGTGTCGGGAAGTTCCGCACGCCACAATGGAGAACATGTTAGGTCTCAGGAACACTTGGTTTGGTATTGTTGCCACTGCTAAATATAGCGATATGACCGGAAATCTAAAAATATAAAGTCAAGGAAGACCTTGTGACGACAGCTGATAATGCGTTATAAAATGTTCCGATAACGCGTATTGGTTTTTATTTAAAGAATGATTAGCCTCCCTTCGAATTCCCTCCTCTTTAAATCAGTCTGAGGTAGATAATTTCAGTTACTTCTCTTCTCTCTGTATTTTCGACATGACTGCAATCGCGCGCCGCCAATATCCAAACTTCTTAAGTCATCATGACGAGGTCATTCGTGAAGTTACGCAACATACGATTAAGGTTTTCATATCGTAAACAGACGAGCCCGACTCCCGGCACCAATTAAATTGTCGGGTAAACAGTTATGTTGGAGAACTGACACCCATATAATTTATGCCTGCTACTACTCAGATATAAACTAACGGTTATGCCTTGCAGGGGTTAACATATAAAACGACTGCAGACGAGTATGTAAATAGTGAGGCTAGGTAAAAACATCAGTTACCTTTATAAAAGAACATTTAAGCTTTTATTAATTAAGTCTAGACCTAGAGGTCAATTGTTGTTAATGAGAGACCTGTAAAGGTGTCTGTATGCCGTCCTGATTGTTTTATTATCATATCATATGAGGTGTTATGGTATTGCGTACGATGAGAGGACAACGTGAACTACTTTGGCTTCGTTGGCGATATTTTGTGGGAAAGACGAAAATCTGCACTCTGCCTCATCATCTTTACAAATCATAGTACACCCATCCTACCACTACACCATGACAACCAGTGCACTATTCCTACCTCATGACGAGTGGATAAATCCTGACGGCACCTTGTGGGAGGGACGCTGTGAGGACTTTGGACCCTCTGATCTGATACCAAATGGACGTCGGTCGGCTCGTGAGAACCACGTGGGGTCTGCATAGTAGACGTCGCCACGTGCTAAGAGGTTTTAGTTGAGAAGGACTTTGGAGCTTTTGGAGCTGGACGCCGATTGAAATTTCAGAATGGTTTTAGTATTGAAAAGGCGTATCAAACATTTTAGGAAGGTAGCATGCCCTAAGAAGGTAACATGAACTGGCATCTACAAACGTAAGTGTGTCTGTAATTTCTGCATTTGCTTACGACACCAACCTATGAAAATGACATAGCTACCTAGAACCAACCTTACCTACGTCAAGAAATGGTCAATACTTATCTAAAGGATTCGGAAAGAAATAACAGTGAAACCATTTTATGATCGTCACCTATCTTCCCATAAGAAACTCCAAAACATAAAGCACCTTCTCTACCCATCTCTAATCTCCCTATCCCCTACCCCCACCACCCCTCACCTGTCCCCCTCCCCCTCCCCCACCACCGGGAGGGCGCCCAGGCCAGCAGCCGACGGACGGAGTCCGGCGCATGCGCAGTGAAGCCTATCTCTCGGCCGGCGGCGGCGGCTGCTTTCGGGGCAGACCCGCGTCGTCTTCCCTCGCGTGTGCCGGCCGCAGAGGACCGACGGCCCAACTCCGAGTGACGGAGAGAGTGTACCGAGTGTCCGAGTGACCGGACTGAGTGTCAGCGAGTGAAATCGCCTGCGTGAGGGTAGAGTTTGTGAAAGAACCCACCCGCGCGAGAGAGAGTGGGAGAGTTTCTCTCACGCGCGAGGCGCGAGGCGCGTTTCGGCGCGATGGAGCGTCTGACACCGCCTCGCGGCGGGACGTGTTCGAAGCAGAGGCTGCTTCCCTTCTTACTCCTCCTCGCAGTGACTGTGAGACTGTCCTCCACATGTGACGTTCGTAACGACTTACGCGGGGCGGGACGTAAAACCCAGCATGCACCTGTCGTATTCGCCGGAACAGTCCGCTCGCGAGGAGCCGAGCGACACGGCTTCTACCAGGTGACCGTCGACGTGGAACGCGTGGTCAAAGGAGGCGCCGTGGGCGACGGACCCCTTCGGCTACGTTTCCGTCGACCACAGGGAGATGCCACCAGCCGGCGTACAGCCTGCGTCGCCGAGGCGCTCGTCCAGACTGGCGAGCGGTATATTGTGTTCGTGAAAGCTGTGGGAGGGCCGAGAAACTTCACGGCTGTGGCGCCACCCGAGAAACACAACCGCAGGAATATGCGCCGAGTGACGAGAGTTATGCGCAGGAGACGAGGTGAGTACCGTTGCGCATTTATGCGCATTGCGCAACTGTGCGCATATTAGCGCATATTTGCATGATATGAGCGCATCGGCACTGGCGCGCATAGCTACATGGACGGCCAGCAGCAATCCAGTTATTCTCACACATACCTACAATACAAGAATCAGCGTTTTTCGCTAAGCTTAGTGTTGAACATTCACCGCGTTGCTTTTGCAGCGTTTTCCGTAAGTTTCGACGCTGACAGGTGACCGCAACCTTTGCCAGCAGCTTGTAAAATTGTTGCAATCAGCTGCACACAACCCACCCATCTCATTTCAATTGAAGCTTCTTCGGAATCCCAGTTCCTTCCTCAATATCATTTTCCCACTCACAATTCCTCCACAACACACTATTTCACACATTTCCCTCCATCCCACCTCACCCTAAGCATCTTTTGAACACACATCCTCCTCTGAACAGCGCTGTTTCTAACAGCTGTCTCCAATGACGACCCTCTACCGTGCTGCCGACATGTTTAATAAAACATATGATCATAAAATCGTGCAGGTAGCGTTATGACCGCTCCCATCACTGTCTGCTCTTCTTATGCAGAAGAGTTCGTCTGCGGCCCTAACTGCATCCTATTAAATGCATTTATGCATGTATGCATATTTCTGCGGGTACCGCAGCGGCTAGGCATTTCGTATTTCTGCGGGAGAAAACGTGCCTTGGTGGAAGGCTGTACCGCCGTCATGGCTTGCAGAGAGCGCATCAGATGGGCTGTAGGAAAAATGTTGTGGAGCTGGAAAGGCAGCATTCACAGGTTTGGTTATGGCACAACGAGCTAGAACAGACTGCGAGGTCGTGGCTAACATTGGATAGAATGCGGAATCTACACTAGTCTTGGACGAGCGACCACGGGTCTCTAGTTTTGAGACGGAGTTGGTATTGAAGTGTGCCCTAGCAAGACTTGGAGTTTAGAACTATAGGATGGTGATAGTGCAGAAAAGTATTGCGACGCAATTTGTGTGAGTATTCTGGCGGCTTTCAACGGCCGAAGCATACGGTGATATAGCTATTCACAGAGCTCGCTCCGAACTTTTCAGACCATGGACGAAGCAAAGTCCTCAATGCCGAAAAAACGTATCTTTTTCAAGTAAAGAATAGAACTGGACTCCCAAGAACATCATTCATTTCAACCAATGACGAGCTTTCAGTCTAAATGGTTCTCAACTGCTTTATCGAGACAAGCATGTTCCCGGCCGTTACAATCAATGTCATTTACAGTGGCACATTACACGTTGCACATTGCACGTTGCACCCGCTACGCCGCTTTCTCTTGTTATCTATAACGGTTAGGCGCCGCGTTCAAATATCACACCACGTGGCCTAACTGATCGTCCTACTCCCGGGCGCCTATCATATAGTAACCGTTGCCATCCGTTGTAAAATATGTTTGTAAAATCAGTCATCGGGTGAGCTGAATGGTTTGAATTCACTTCAATATTTGGCAGGAATCATGTGCTGACTTTTCGATGCAGAAGAGATTTTTTAGTCTTCTTTTTGTTGCTATGGAAACCAGATGTTTTTTATCATTTGTTGCCCTTTTGTAAACCTGTGAGTGAAAAAGTGAAAAACGCCGTGAAAAAAGAGAGAAAAAGCTGCTTAAATCGTTTGAGTTAAAAAGGTACTTAATTCCCTGCTTTGCTAAATTTAAGACGTGCTTTGCTGTAGGAATAAGCCACTCAATTATCCCAGCGCTCCAAGTTTGTCTCCTCTGCGACGAACCTGTACCTACCAATCAGGGATTCGTAGAAAGGGTCCATCCAGACTGGGTCAAGGTCACTTTATACCGACTGGGTCAAGGACACTGGTAACACCAAGGTCACATGCTCGCCGAGCGCTGACCCGTTCAAGTATCGCGTGTCGTGTCAGACTGACACCACGTGTCAGCGGTGTCAGGTGTCGTCATGCTGATGTCGAGTCAGTGTCAGTGAGCTGTTGTTAGGGGCAGTTGCTGTAAAAGCTGATCATTGAAACTTCTTGGTATTCGTTGCTCAGTAATGACAAACTTTTTATAACTGTCTCGCAAATCGCAAAACACTCATGTTCTCATCAAAACCAGACGGCTAAGTGCTACGGCGTCATATCATCCACCATCGCTAGTGCCAATATAAGGGAGACCCGGGAGGTATGGGCCGGTTTTGTGAAAAGGCAATTTTCTTCGGATGGGCAGTGGCTAGACCCGGTTTTTCACTCTGTGCACGTGAAGTTGCCTTTCGCCTACAAAGTGTGCTTGATATTAGGCATCTGGGATCAACTATTTTGTCTCGAGATAACTTTCAATAAATAATGTGCTTTTTCGATCCATCAAAATACACCGGGAGGTATGGGCCATGGCCCGGGAGGTATGGGCCGGTGCCATGTTTCATATTCTTTTCTCGACAATGAGAACAATACTCGTAGCTGGTATCTGCCTTGATCTCTCTTAGAGCCCAGGAACCGCATAAGCGGCCAACAGCTTACTTCATGGTGGTCACTTGGGCACATTTGTATTTTGGTAAACTCAATCATGCACCATGAAATAACATAAATAATATGTTTCTGTTCGAATGAAATTTGAAGTTAAATTTTCAACCTTGCGTGACAAAAATAAAACTTATTGAAGATGACACTCAATGAAAGCACCTTTTTATTTATTTAGGATCAGCGGGGGTGGGTGGCCCGAACCTCCCGGTTAGGACGCCAGAATTCGCGTAGCATCTCATCTCATAATCTAGCAAGAAAGCTTCAAATTGTCTATCCAGTCTTTATTTGCATGCTTTAAGCTTTATGTTAGCATTGGTCTGAAATCATAGAACGAGCTTGGTTTAAATTTATCACGAATTTTCTGTATGTAAAGTATTTTACTCGAAGAGGGCAAAAACGCTTTATCACCACTCATTGCCAAAGAAGACTGAGGAAGATTTTGAAAATCACGTGGGTTGTATAACGGAATGGCTGCTACCAGTTAACGCCGTCAAATGTGTAAAAATACTTAACACTTCTTCAAAACTGAGATGGCCCATACCTCCAGGGGGCCCATACCTCCCGGGTCTCCCCTACACTCATTACCCCTAAATCCGCCAGTCATTGCCCGACCAACGAACCACGCCACGACTTTGACCCCTTGTCGCTCTTAGACCCCCTCCCTCCGCTGTTAACCATCAGACACGTCCCCCGCCAGAGCGGTGATATTTGGGGACCCCACGCAGAGTTTATTTTCCCGTGACGAGGCTAATTTCAATGTCATCAGTTATGTAAGTGGGACATGTTATTTGGATTAGGATACACATTGAGCAGTCTGGTGTAGTGTAGTGGAGGTTGGTAAACGAGCATAGTGGCAAGTCTTGACTGGTGTGAGCAGAGGTCGACAAAATCTCCGACCATCTGACCCTGGTCAGAGAAAAATAAACGAGCGAAAAGCACAAAAAGAAGAAAATATCACGGAAGACATTCTAAAATTAGCAAAGCCAACATTGTTACATTCATGCACCTATGTCATAGACCAGCAAGTAGCAACAGCACGAATAACAATTTAGTGATCACAGTTCTATACAATTTCTCCACTTTCTCCCTAGTCAGAGCTGGTCTGATCCGGTCAGAAGCAGGTCTGTGCCCATTAGGTCTGTTTCCCTACCAATTCATAACCAAATATCGCTCTTATTGGCAGTCGGAGAAAGTGGTGTTTTTGTCTAGCCCGTTGTTTTCTTCGGCTGCCAAAATCTTGAGGCTTGAGAAATAATATCTGATAATTATCAATAACAGTCGCTATTTCTTGTGACGTTTTTCGTATATCTGAAGGAATTTCTTCAAATACGAAGAAAAGTCTCAAGAACGGGAGACTTTATGATTTGGAAGCAATTGAAAGCGCCATCTTTGGGCGGCCAGTGCGGCACGTTGTGCGTGTGCTGCCCGTGGGAGACGGGCGTCTAACTGTAGACGATCCACCACAAGGGATTTCTGGCTATTCGGGCGCCATCTGTTAAACTCTCCCAGCGCTTGCGTAATGCGTGCGTGGTGCGCCGGCGGCGGCGGCGGGCCCTGGTGCGGCGTCAAGGCCCGTGCGGCGTTGGCGCGGTGTGTGGGGTTGGAGTGGGGCCGTCGATACGTCATATGCCCATAGGCGGCGGAACGGGGGGCGGAGTCGGGTTCCGTGGATCAGGCTAATGTGGATTACATTCGTATGTGCCGACATGTTCCGACTCATGAGACTTCTTGCATTTGTGTATGACTGCCGTATACCATACCCCTACCAGTGTTTTGGGTTGCGACTTGCGCACTAGCGTGGTGGATAGGTATCCAAATTCACCATTTCTCACAATCGTCGAAGGAAAGGCTGGAGAAAATTGGCCGGTAGTCGGAGAAACTCCATGAATTTTGTCGACCTCTGGGTGTGAGAGTCTTTTAGTTGGATTCTTGTATGCAATTACGTCTTGCTTAGAGACCAGAGACTGTTGACTCAGAAGCGACTGGAATATGTCCCACAGTAGGTGTACTGTGGGACACTTTGCTTTGCAATGCTCCATGAGTAATTTGAGAACAACCGCCGGCGTTTAAAAAGCTATTCGCTGTGAAATTCTAAAATGATAACTGCTTTTAAATTATGATAAGCCCGTCTCTCTTTTTTATCATTTTGCATTACTTTCCCGTGGTTTTCATGCATTTATATAAACCTAATACCAGTTACACAGAAGCACCGTAAAAGTTTGCATTCTTTTTCCACCCACCACTGGCCTGGCGCCAATCCGCGTAAACCTCCTAGACCCCAATTGCACTAATGCTCCAAAGTCTGGCCGCATCCAATAAAGCTCAGTGCTGTGTAAAGCAACAGTACCCAGATCTCTGGGGTTTACCGAGTCAATTCGTCCCAAACTCGGCCCGGAAACGAGACGATCGTGATGTAAATTTAACCGCATTTCGACCGAGTGCATTTTTCTGTCGCGCTTTACGGCTGCCAGATCTGGGAGTTATTGCCAGATGGGTTTCGTTCA